ATTGTAAAGAATTTTTTTTTTTATTAAATTTTTTGGGTTGATTTTTAAAAAAAAAGGAAAAAAAAAAAAAAAAAAAAAAAAAAAAAAAAAAGGCACACCACCAACATGTGGCCATTTTATGGAGATGAGATGCAATATCACTAAACATTCACAGCCATGTGAAAAGTAAGTACACCACATTTCAATTCAAAACCTTCAATAATCTGACCAAGAAAACCGAAAAGGTCTAAACAAAAACTTTTAATCAGATTCTCTTGAGGGGGCATTCACACCAGCCCTGTTTAGTCCACTTTAGTCAAACTCCAGTCTAAAAAGTCCGGTTCGTTTGGGGAGGTGTGAATCGAACTCAGAGAGTCGGACCAAAACAGCAAACTCTGGTCCACCTAAAAACCTTTTTTTTTTTTTTTAGATATTGCATGTAATTTGATCTTGAATTCCAAGTGATTATCAGCCAAACATTCAACACACTTATCTCCAAATCACCAACTGATCTGTGTTGGTGTATTAATGTGTGTGTTGGTGTATTAATGTGTGTGTTCGTGATGGCTATTGGGTGAATGTGGCTGTAATGTGTTCCGAGTGGAAAACTCACCGTATGAATTCAGTTCATTTACTATTTAAACTCCCTGGGCAGACAGGGCCTGTTTGGGGCGCTGCTGCCAAGAGAGACGAGGCTTAGAGGCCCTGATGATGGAACCTGACGAAGAATCCCACTTCTTTTGGGAAGTAAATAACACCTGATCCAAAATAGAGGTACTCCGTCTCCTGTACTTTGATGAGGTCGTTTTCTGGCCCAACCTCTGGGCCTTCCTCCGTTTGGACCACTCGTTAATTCTTCAAAACTTCCACTCCTGGCAGGTACTTAAAAATCTAAATTATGTGCGTAAACTGTGAGTATTCTCTTCCTGACAAAGAAAGACTCACGTAAATCTGTATCAGGTGAAGAATACCTCAACCGTATTCCTCCAACTCTTTCAAAGTTCCCTTGTTTATTTTCCCTTAGCATTTAAATACAGAACATACAAAGAAATGTGTCTTTGTATGTGTCTGTATGTTGCAACCAGCAGCTTATTTGGCACGATTTTAAGTTTCAACTTCCAACAGGAACAAGGCTAATTTAGGTATAAACTCTGTGAAAATTGAGTTTACTCGCTGCTGGTTTTCTCTTTCAAGGAAGGAATGAATAATCAGGTTATTTTAGTTCATCAAATCCTGCTGCTGCTGCAAATAAAAAAAACTTCATTCATTTCTGGTGTCCAAACAAGATCCAAAGGACAAAAAGACTGAGGCAGCTCATTTTTCTGGTTTTAGTCTGAATCAATTACCCAAACAATGAGTGACTCCTTTCCTGCTTAGATATCAGATTGGTATGCAATACTGCGCTGCTATTTGACTGTGAAAACATTTCAAATTGCTGTTATAAAAGTTGAGAAATTAAACTGCCTTTGTGTGTAGAGGTACCCCCCATTTTTGATGCTTTATTAGGCATTTAGTGCATAAGCTCTCAGCTGCTGCTGGTTGTTTGGTCTTTGTTTTAATTTTTTTGGGCTTGGCTTCATGAGGCTATAATTGAGCTGGCAGTGTGGCCCAGTGGACCACAGCAGTTTGACCAGCTGCTCCTTCATTAACACCAGTGTCACTGAAAAGTCCACTCTGACTTCAGACTCTGGCTATTTCTAGACCCACTAAGGTTTTCTGAAATGCTAATGAAGTCACTGTGGGAACCTGCCCAACCACTTCGTGCAAAGGCAGATTGAAGTGGGGATGATGGACCGACATCCCAAACAAACCTCCAATCGACTATTTATATGGTTATTTTTCTCAGCAGCAGCAGCTTTGTTGTTGACAAAACTACTCTTCAAACACCAAGCCCAGCCTCAATTCACAGTGTTTCCATGTGGCTAAAGAGCTAGCCTATAATGCTAGTTTAGTACTTTAGCTTTGCACAAGGGTAAAAAAAACAAGAACTTATGACTCAAGAATTTGCCTTCTGAGATGTTTTAGTGTAATTTATTTGCAGAGAGCTCACAGAGAAGTTCTCCAATTTCATAAACGTCAGTGATGAGTTTGTCCTGCTCTTCCTCCCCTAACCGCGGTATCATTGGTCATAAAATTGCGCAAAATGGAATTATGAAAATAAATGTGCTTACTGGAAACAATAAAACATTTTTTTTTTCACTAAGATGAGGTGTTTTCTCAAAAGTGATTTTGAGAAAAAATAAATTCTTGCCAAAAGTCCTCCCTCGTCAGCTAAAAAAAAAAAAAGACTCTTGGCAAGAAATGACCCGTTTTATGGGGCCAAATCACATTTTTTTTAATGAATTTCAGACATTTTAAGGCCTCAATGTTAGAAGCATGAATTTAAGACTCTTTCAGGATGCGCAGACATCCTGTACTTCTCCCAGCACTAACGGGGCAAGCTCTAGCATCAATGTGTAGCAGAATCATCTGTAGCTAATGAACATGCCTCGCCTGTGAAGTAAGACGAGGAGAACTTACAACTTGCTTTATTCTCCTTCGCCTGCTCTTCACTTGTGCTGGGGCAATTAGCACGGCGTGCCAGAGAGGGGCGGTGGTCCGCTGAGTCACACTCTGCCAAGTGGAGCCCAACACGAATCCTTTCAAAGTCTGGGGCAAAGCTGGTCTCTATGGTACGCTCAACATCTGAAGGTGCTCTTTTTTCTGAAGTTGTACCAGCACAGTCATTGATGCAGACAATAAAGATGAGAGTATAAGTCAGGAGAAGGAAGGGCCAAACCTTCCTAGAACCAGACATGTCAGTTCATACGATGCTACGCCAGAAAAGCCTAGGAAACCTGCCTTGAGAAGATTAAGAGCGACTTTGAACATGACAGCTGTGTAAGGCCTGGTGTTACCTGAGCTTGTGAACTTGACTTTGGTAAAATATTTTAAAATTATATGTCCGACACCTCACATAAATTGAGGCTCTTATAAAACACCATCACAAACGAATCACTATGCTTCTTTCTGTCGTGTACATTATATGCAGCAGATGGAAAAACTTACACTTCACGCTTCGTTTCCTCTGCGTCAGAATTGCATTTGTAGCAAAGCAGTGATAAGTTCTTTGCTTATAGCTTTTAGTCTTCAAATGTGTTCATAAAATTGTTGTTTTTCATACAATTACAACTCAGAGGTATCCCAGTTTTCCTGTTTCAGTGTCGAGGTTCACGAATTTGCAAAACGAGACGCAACACACGAACGAGCAAACAGCAATCACTTTCGAAATGTCTGAGGCAAAGCGAGCTTCCAATACTCAGGAGGAGCGAGTAGAAACCTGATCTCGGAAAGCGTACACACTGAACTTTGACAGATGTCATCAAAGTGAAATAGAGTTTCAATGAGCGACTCTAAAAGCAATCCACACAATCTATTAAGAATAAAAAGGGAACGGGAAACAAAGGATTGGCTGCAGCAGCTGTGTGGAAAATAAGAAAGCCAAGGAAGATGACTTCTCACACCGATCATCAATCAAGCAATTTCCTCAAGTGGCTCCCAAGGTGCGGATAAGAATGGAGGCATACGCACGCGTCATCTTGGCTGATTTTTATAAATACAAAGTGTTCACTCAAGTGTTATGGCTTCATAATTGCTGAAAGAAAACAGGACATTACATCTGTGTGCTAAAACGAGGTATTGGCACATGGAGTTCACGAAGTTCAATCAAACGAGAGAGAAAAAAAAACAACAAAAACCTTGGCACAAGGAGAAAGAGAAATGTGACGCTGAGAGTCTGAAGATTTGCATGTGTGACCCGGTTTCATTTTGAGCAGAACATTCAAAAAGTTCAGAATGATCAGAAATGTCCATGAACCCAAACAACTTGACTGAAACGGGACCAACCAGAACCGTTGGAAGACATAACGGAGGAGAAAAAAGCAACTGCTCCCGATTTTTCCTTTGCGTTTGTTGATTAAATAGTTTGTTGTATAAGACAAAGATAATCTGAGTAAAAGCCAAAAAAAAAAAAGTTTTCAGGTGATGATTTGTTAAATCCTCCTGTTTGGCTAAGTTAAACATTCTGCAAAATTCATCTTCTGTAAACGCATCACAAGTTGCCAGGTTGGTTTCTACTGAAATTATTTGAAAACGTCATCTTGTACTTGCTCAGGTTATCTGTCTGACATTAAATTTTGTTTCATGAAATGTGAAAATGTAACAAAACCAAACAACAGAAGAAACCAGAGGACATAGATTTATATCCAGACACACAGTAACCAGGAACACTAAGCCATAAAAAGCTGTCATTACCAAGTACTGGGCATCCAAAGAAAAAGATTTGACTATTAGGGGTGTACCAAGCCAATATTCATATTGGAAATCGGTCTGATATCAGGCAAAAAATGAGTATTGGATTATATCAAGCTGCATCTAAAATCTCTGACAGATGCACTCCTCTCCAGCAGCACTTTGTATCCCAAACGCTTTGGTTATAGGATCAGTTCTTCTCATACATATTATTGTTGACCATCGTTTTCTGTTTGAGAAATTGATTTTTGCTTGTTTTTCTGTTTGTGGTAAAGCTTTTTATAACATCCCACATGACAAATTAAGTAATAAAAGTATTTACGATTCGTGGTGATATCGTGTCGGGTCAGTATCGGTATTGGTATCAGCCAATACTCAGAGCTGTGATATCGGTATCGTATCAGAATTATTAACGTCTGAATTTATAAAGAAGTGTCTTGCTGAATAAAGAGTCAGAGTGAAATTTAAAAGTTGGTGCTTTGACGCAAGACAGTCGGTGTGCAAAACTCAATATGGAATGTTGAGTTGAGGGACATTTCTGGAATATGATGGCAAAATGTGGAGCTGCGTTTTGCAGGAACATTCGGAAGACTTGGACACTCATCAGTGGTGGAACGATGGAGAAAATTTGTGCTGTGGAATCCCAGCTTGTACGCCGCTACGTCCAAACAACCAGAGTCTTTTCAGTTCGGTAGAAAATTGATGTTTCCAAGTAAGAATTTCTGCTGCGGTAAATTTCCCATCTGAAGTTCATCTTCCTCTGTCTTGTGTCTCTCCTCCAACAGGAATCATAAGCTCGTCAACTCTTTGCCGCTCGTGTTCGACGCAGCGGCCGGCGATGTTTCTCGATCACAGCCTGTACACCTAAAATAAAAATGTTTTATTCTCTTGTTCACTTTCTTCGTCTCCGTCTTTGTTGCAGGGCTCGTCCGAGCGCACGGGGAAGCAACGCGGTCGGCGGACGCCTCAGGGCAGGGAGGGGTCGGAGATGGCGTGACTGGGGTCACAAGTGAAGGAGACGGTGATGGCGTAGCGCGTCCCCCATGTTACCTTCTCCACGCGGTGGAGGTTCTCCGATCCAGAGGAGAAGAAAGACACCCGTCCTGGACAGGAGAGAGGAAACAAAACAAAACAAACAAAACTCTTTAGGGAGGAAGTGAATGTACAAAAAGACTTCAAAGAGGAAGTGTAACTTTTCAGGAAATATTTGCCGTTTGGCTTTAATCCACATCTGGTGATGGGACATTTGGCACAAAGCTTTGAACATTGACTTTTTAAGAAAAAAAAAGGTAGTTGGTGATCTTTACTGAACAAATGGTAAACAGGGTTAAACATATTTATTACATAAATTGTGAAAAATATTTATAATTTAAATAAAAGATTTTTTTTTTTAAATGTTGGTCTACTTTTTACCAAGTTCTCATTTGTTCGTGTCGGTAAGAATAAGTAACGCAGTTTACAGTCATTATTGCTGCATCGGTAGTTGATACAGCTACATGTCCCTTATTGTTTGAGAAATAAATATCAATATAAAAAGTGAAGTGCGACCAGCTTTCACTTTAATCACAGCAGTAGGTCTCCACCATCTGGAATCCAAACGTTTTGTTCATTCCTCTTAACTAAACAGCTCAGATTCAGTCAGAACGTCCAAGTCATGAATACTTTTGAAGAAGAAGAAGTTTTGCTTATACAGCTCTTTTCAGCAACAAGGCAGTTAAAAGTGCTTTTCCAGCTTTAACCGCTAAAGTTAACAGCTTTGTTGTCCATCGTGGATTTATGAGCCGAGGCAGCAGTGAAACACCCAGCGTGCTGCTGCTGCAGTAAGTGAATGAAGGAATGGAGAGAAACAATTGCACAAGAGCAGAAGATGGAGTGAGGGGGGCATTTTCATTTGAAACTCACAAAAGGACTTTGCAAAGTGAGCAAACAAAGTCCAGAATGCAACGGAAAACAAATCAAAGAAAGAAGAATTAAAAGCTGGCAGTTTCAAACCTGCTGACGTGTTAGCAGGTTTAAGAAGCTACTCCAAGACTTTAAAGATCTGACATCAAGCTAACCTTCAGATGAAGTTCCTCCCTCCATAGCAGAGAAGGTTTTGGGTTAGATTCCCAAATGCAATTGGAAGGAAGACCTTCCTCTGGAAACACAGCATCCAAATACTGTGAGCTACAAGAATGAAAACAACTCAAACAGAAAGATTTTGAAAATTAAGATATTTGAAAATTGTACAAATTCAACAGCACAGTTACAGATGACTGCTCAACAGTTGTGGATATTTTAAATTTAACTACTTGTGGAAAGTAAGAGAAACAACAATTTTCTTTCTCAAAACCTAAAATAAATCCATTTACTGAAACCCTTCTCTAGCATTTCGCTCTTTAATCAACACTTGGTGATTTTCTGAAAGTCTCTTCATTTATCCAAGGCTAATGAGCTGCTGTCACATTCCAGCCAGTGCGGATCTCACTAAATACGGCCCATCCTAGATTTGCATAAAAGTTGATACAATCCAGAGAGCGGCTGTGCATCACAATTATGTTTTTCAAAGTTTTTCAGTCGTTTTAAAACTCACTATTGCCTCGGCTTTTTTTTTTTTAAAGGGGTTAACTCATTAAATGAAACAACAACACAAAAAAAGAAAAAGCTGGAGTCGGTGTTCTACTTTCCCCCTGATGGAACAAACAACTCGTGTCCCTGTGTGATGTTCTGGGGGAGCTTTTCTGGGGGTGTTGCAATCCCCCTGGCAGCCTGTTAGATTAGAGGTTGTCAAAGAAAATTAGATCTCACTGTTAAACAAAAGAATCTACTGTGAAGAAAAGAACCAGGAATGGGCGGCAGGACAATTAACTCCCAAACGAGGATGAGCAGCAAATACAGGAAAGGACTGCAACGTGAGAAAAAACAAGGGCATTTCTCCACGCCCGCGTCGGCTGCGTGGCTTTAGATAACTTCCAAATGGCATTATCTGGAAATAATTCCCTGCAAGTGTCAGTGGGAACGCTCAGTGTTTACTGTGAAGAACGTTTCAGACTCCCAACAGTGGAGTGAGGGAGATTAGCCGCGGCACAAAGGAGAGACGCCGCCGGTGGAGTTCAAGAGGCTTAGACAAAAACTTTTCCAGGTCATTTCCAGGGTGCAAAGGAACTAGGAAGTGAAAGGGTAAGGGTTTGCTTTTCCTCGCATCCACACTACAGATAATACCAAGAGAAAATCCAGAGGCCAGAAAAAACTGCAATTTGTGCTCTTCTAATATGAAGCATATAAAAAAATGAATTTCATTCCATTTTATTCACAGTTTTTGTGTGGGATGAGAGAAAGAATTGTGCATTTTAGGGCTCAAATCAATATAGAACCTGTGTTTTAGATGGTGGTACGTGTCAAAGTAAGAAACTCAATGAATCTGAAACTTCTGGCTACATCAGAAGTTCTGGAAAACTTGGACAAAACAGATCCAGATACAAGAATTACACATAAATCCTGTTCTACCACTGAGTAGCTGTGTAATGCAACTGTAAAAGCAAAATCAACTAACTGGTTTACAAAGCAGCATCCAATTTTAAGGATGTATAAAATGATTTTAGAGCAGTTCAATGGCAATGCTGACTGAGCCAACTAATATTGAGAGGTGTCAATAAATAATTCATAAAACGGTTACTTAAACATATAATTAAATCATTAAACTTGGCAAATAGTATAGCTTATTCAATATACAATAAAAAGGCACATAAAACCAATCCACTAGTATTTAATGGACACATGCTGCATGCACACCATGAATTTATTTCATCTCTCATCATCACGCATGCCAATGATGTTCCGCCTGAGCAGCAGCGACGATAAATTCAAAAAGGCAAAAGGCTCTCACTTAGGGCGATAAGACTATACAAAACCCAAAAGCCAATTATAACGACATAAAAGATTGATTTCTGAAGCACATGGAAAAGCAGATCTGGGCTACGAAAACAATCAGAAATGCAAATGATATTCTGCTGAGAAACAAAGAGTTGTGCTGTGAATTTGTAAAAGCTGATGTGACTCGTTAGTTTGGTTCGGAAAGAACAAAAAGCTTGGCGTAATGTCTTAAAATTGAACCCTACTTAAACATCTGCACAACTTAACGTAGGCGTTACTGGGTCTTCATGATGCCGTTTATTAGTAGCAGGTTTATTAAAGGTAGATTTTATTTAAGTGTGTAAGGAATCTTCTTCCATTGGATTTAAAGTATAACCAAACAGACATAATTTATTTGTACTTGACGCCTTAAACTTTAGTGGTACAACTTAAGACATTGTCAGGTCAATGTATAGATCACTCCCACCGGCTTGTAGTGAATCAGCTCCCTCAAAGGACGATGGTCCAGAATAGGTCAATGGCTGGAAATGTGTTCCCAAATACAATCAGCCACTTATAATATTACAATTAGTTATAATGAAAACACTACAGATGAATTCAAGTCCATCTAAGCATCTTCCTTTTGTCGCTAGCACAATGCTAGCAGTGGCAGATGATTTTCAAGGGCCAGCATTGTTTGTCAGCTACATAGCATCATTTTATAACACAATCGAGTAACTTTGTTACCTTCAGTTGTTACAAAAATACTTTATATATCCAATGTGACCTAAAAGAAATCTTCCTTTTTAATTTAACGCCTTGAAATTTGGCCTCCGTCTCTTTAAGAAGCTTCTAGAGATGTGCCGATCAGGATCGGTCACCGATCATAATCGGGCCGATTTTCGTGAAAAAGT